AATTTATTATTTAAACATAATTTTTCACCGAGAAGTTGTTCCAGTAAGTGCATCCCTCATAATAAAAAATCCCGATAAAAATCCCCCGAAAAAAGAGGAAAAACCATCGAGAGATGTGTAGTCCAGTGGTGGTCGTTCATCATCGAGGAGCTCTCAACTTTTTGGTGTGGAGCCACGTACATGCTCGCCTGCATCCAACGAACCTGGGTCCCGGAGGCGAATGTCGGGAATAAAGCAGGCACCTCTTTGACCCGGAGGATAAAAAAAAGCCCCGGCAAAGGGGCGAGCGGGACGAGGAGAAGTGGAATAGAAGTAGAAGAGGGAGAAAACCTGACGGCTACACACCGACCGTATAACACACCCGGTTCGTGTCTGACTGATATTACGAGCAGACCCACGGAATAAGAATCGATTCAACGCCAAGGAGCAATCGGCAATGGGGAGAGAAGAAAACAGAATGGGTGGGTTAAAAGAAGAGGAGGGGGGAATGAAGAAAGAAAGCACCAGTCGAATGCGTTATACTGGCGGTTCGATCATTCTACAAACTCGAAACACGGTATTTTAACATCTAAATGTTTACGGGAGTGCATGGTACAGGTTGTTGTTGGGTTTGTACGGTGCGATAGCATCTATCGGCCTTTTTCATACGTGAATAACCGGATGCGTCGTTAACCCCAAATTTCCATTGACGAAATATCTAGCTGAAAATTAAGTTTTTTAATTCCCAGGATGATTGAGAATTTGTTTGTGGATATGATTCAGAATTCTCATGAATAATTTTATCGCAAATTAAATTGCTGTTCAATTTTATCGGAAATTGAGGAAATTGAGAAATAAATTAACAGGGGGATTTTTAATTCAGCATCACAGTTGATGTAATCACTAATTGTAATTCCAACTTCTTCGTATTTAATTCATTTATTTGATGTAAAGAGCTTCATGCAGATAAGTTTTCATTAACGATTTCTGAATTTTTTATTCTTCATTTCAAGAGTAATTTCTCACAGTATTTTAACGTTTAAATGGTTACAGAAGTTCATGGTGCAATTGTTCTGAGTAAATAATCTACTCCACTACGTCGTTAACCCCAAATTTCTGTTGACAAAGTTTCTATTGTTGTTTATTTTTAATGGATTTTTATCATTTTTATAATTTTATAAATTTAATCGATTTCGATAATGAGAAAATTCAAGCTGTCATTGAAAACTTCTTAAAAACATAATTAAATTTTTTTTTATTTGTATGAATAAGAATTTTCATGAACAATTTCATCTCGAATTGAATTCCTGTTCAATTATATCGCGATTACTTGAATTTTTAAAAGTGTGCTAGAGTAATCTTGAATCCAGATGTTTTCAAACGTGAAAATGTTTCCAGAACACACAAAAAAAAATAAAAAACACCTATCAATTTACTTAATTGTCCGAAGATGTTGAGGACATAACAGAGCCCAAAAGAATATCAAAATAAAAAAAATTGGCTGATGGTTATTGCCTCCTCAAATAAAATAAAAATTAACATTGTAATCATGAATTCCAGAATTATAATTGACATAATCACCAATTGTTATTTCAACCTCTTTGTTTAATTTATTCATTTATTTATTTATTCATCTCACTTTTTTG